ATAGAAAATGCCTTTTAGGCTAAAAGATATAAGCATTATATGATCATCTTCTCCCCCCCCCCCCTTTAATTTAACACACACACACACACACACACACACACACACACACACACAAAAACTCACACACACACACACACACACACACACACACTTGTGATAAAATATATATGTAGAATTAACCTCTTTTTTCATTGATGATTATATATATAGACCAGGCAATATTCTCAAAACCTAAAAATTGTGTTTTTATTATGCTTTCTAGTCTTTGTGAAATTGACCTCTTTTTAAAAATGAATAGAAACAATAACAACAACAAAAAATTACTTCAAAAACGCACACGCACACTCTCACACACAAATGTGTTAGATGTGATGATTCTCTGTTCCAGTGCTGTTTATATATTTCATGTAAATTTTTCAATTCAGGAAGAAGATGAGGAGTGCAGGATCTTTGCTGCTGCTAAAAGGAAAATGATGAAGCTGCGAGTTGAAAAGGAAAAACTTCTCCATAAGTAAGATAATTTTATAATTTATTTACTTTACAAATGTATGAAAAAATTTACATTTGCTGTGATAAATCTTCTTTATTTATATAATTGGCCTCTTTACACTTTTAAAAACAGTCCCAAGAAGCAAAATGAAGAAATAACGGGAATTTGAAGTTTTAATTTTTTCAACAAAAACATACCTTATTTCTGTATATTAATGGAAAAAAATAATGCATTTACATTAGCATCATAAGTACTCAAAATGATTGTTCATACCAACCACATATTAGCTGATATATTATCTACATGTTCTTTGTAAGGCCATTGACAAGGCATGGGACCTTATAAATATTACTACACAACCTGTTTATCGAATAAACAAGAAAACCAATTTCAAATCAATTTTTTCCTATCAGTGAGAAGCAAGAGAGACTGGAGAAGATTCGTGACCGTCTGGCAGCCCAGATGAAACAGAAGGTCGATGACGAGGATCAGAGGATTCGTAAAGCAACCGAGGAGAGAGAGGCCAAGATTGCAAAGGAGGATGCCGAGAAGGATGCCAAGAATAGGAGGATGCTTTCTGAGATGGCTGAACACAGATACCAGCAGGTTTGTGGATGTTTTTATATTGTTTATGAAATATAGCAACACTAATTATTTCCTGAAGTTAATAGCAGTCACATTAGTGCCCCCTAATAGACTATTGATTATTATTATTTTCTTTATGTATATAATTGTCAGCATTATTTCATTATATTCTTATATTTCTGTTATATTCTGGGTTATAAAAATATGTAGAGTGTGGCTTAGATTTTTTTTAATAGTTTAGTGAAATGAAACTTATTTATGTCCATTATCTTTTGTCATTTTTAAATTCATCAATTAAGATGAAGCCTTAAGTAAATTTTTACAGTCATTCTGGAGTTATCTTAGAGACCTGATAAATAATTGGGAAAATAAATATAAAAGAAACGACTCATAACAACATATTTTGATTGTTATTTTGTTTATTTCTTATTAACAGCATTATTTTATTTGGAGTTCCTTCAGATATAATGTGAATTATTTGAGAAAAAAGTATTGACTCTAAACAATGTAACAAACTATGTTTTAGATGAGAGAGAAAGAAGAAAAGGAGGCTGCAGAGAGAGCCAGGGAGATGGAAATGCTACAGATCCGCAAGGAGGCAGACAAATTGTTCCAGAGAAACGAGGAAATGAAACATAGCAGAAAGTTTGATGAAAATAAACACCTAGCAGACTTCCATCTCATGCAAGCTGTAAGTTGTACTTGACATATATATATATATATATATATATATATTTTTTTTTTTTTTTGTTAGATTTATTTTTAGATTTTAAGTTTGAGTTGATTAAGTCTTAATCTTTTTTGTATATATATTTTATTTATTTTATGAATATTTAACAGTCTGGAAATATTTTTACAATAATGACAAAAATATCCATACTATAAAATTAAATAGATTATGCATAAATAGTAAGCAGTGACAGTTAGTGAAAAAATATGCAGTTTTCGATTCAAAACAATATTCATTAATTACCTGCAGTACCCTTGACATCAAATCAAACAGTTTCCTGATTGAAATAAATAACACCATGCACTAAAATTTCATAATCTCAAACTTCTAGGGCCAGCGCAAACTTAAAGAAGACGAGGTGAAGGTGGAGCAGCTCCAGCAAGACGCCAAAAACATGGAGCTGCTGAAGCTGGAGGAGGACCAGTTCCAGGAGTACGCCGGGAAGGTGATCGACCACTGCCTCCAGGGAGGACGCAACGTGTACCCTCTCCGCAAGGCGGCCAGGCCAGGCGCCGGCGGGGGACTGGGGCCCATCTTCGAGGGGAAGGGCGGCATCCGCCCCAGTTACATGGCGATGGATCACAGCGGTGTCCAGCTGCCCAACTACCAACGAGGGACGACCGAGGAGGTGAAGAAGAATATATATGGCGATGGACGGACCAACAAGAGACTCGGTTTCGTGTGGAGATAAACACTTTATATGATTTTGCTGCCTTTTTTGAAAAATGTATTTTCTGCCAATTGGAGTCTAGGGGGTTTAAGGGACTTGATTGAAAATTTAAGGAGAAAACACTCCAGTATTTTATTTAAACCAGTTTTATTATATAGCAGCATCTCTGAAGGCAAATAACCCAATTCATCAATGTTCGCATGGCTGACTTAAATATCAGTATGTTACTGACCCATAATATATAAAAACACTGCCAATGTGTGTAAACTAACATTAGCATAATGGTCATTGTTCCTTGCGTGGTTTCCGTTGAAATTCTGAGTCAGCTGCTTCTTTGCCCATATTGGCCCAGTCTGTGGAAAGTTTGACAAAATGTTTCGTAAAGAGTGGGTGTAAACCTATGTTCGGCAAATACTGCGTTTTCGTTTGTCAAGCAAAAACTGACTTTGTATATCTTTGTGCATTTCCAAGTCTTGGGTCAGAATTTGCCAAAACTGACGTCAATACATACAGTGAGTGACGAAGTTGTCTGAAATGCCAGCGCTCCCATTAAAATTTATTAAAACATGTAAATATTGCACGTGTAAATTTACAGCCTGTACATATTATGTAAGAGTAAATAAAGTATGAATGGAATTGAATTTTTTGTCACCTGTTGAAGTTATAACAGTGAAAATGATTACAATTTAAAATAAGTTATAATGTTATGATATTCAGAGGTATTGGTGTAAAACGAAAAAAAACTGCATAGCTAAAGAAAATGGAACGAATGTTAGTAAAAGAACAACAAAAATAATCTCCTTGACTGATAAAATTCAATTAAAATGTTTCGCATTGTCATTTATTTATTTATTTTTTTATTTCTGCCGAATCTCGTCCGTCTTCATTGTGTTCCACCAACTCCAGACTATAACGTTTTGTTACAGCGTAACTTGGCTCGTCAATAATGAATTCTTGTAACACCGTGTTACCCATCATCAGCTTTTCTTTCACGCCCGATCCATTGGCGACCCCCTCTCTGTAAACGAACGGCACGACGTTCTCCAGTTCCTTGCAGGGAATCTGTATTGCGTATTGTCTATGCAGTTGTTTTAGGCACCCTGTACTGTCATAAAACAACTTAAGATAGGCAAAAGAATCGCGAGGGGCGTTGAGAAAGATGTTACCAAACGGACGCCTATGAAGAGGAAACAGGACTCTTTTTTCGAATCTCCTGTAGAGTTTGCTGGAGCTGGGAACTGTGTTTCCGCTTAAATTCCGAGGAATATCCCAAATGTGTGTTTGGTTTTCTGCGTACAGGAATATGTCGACTGCTGGCCATTTCCACTCGTCCACCGTGATATTTGACCACTTGTAATAGACCTTCAGTAACCCCGGGTAGCGGGTGTGGAGCGGGGTATGAACAACATAGTCTGGAGCATGTTTTGAAAATGCCTCCGTCAGTTTTGCCTTACCGCGGACGCTGCAATGAATGTCGGCATCAACATCCCATGGAATCATACCATGGTGTCTGTATGACCCGAGCAAGGTGCCCGCAGACATGAAATAGGTGATATTGTTCTCCCTGCATACCCTGTCTATGGTACCTAGTATATTTGTAAAGATTTCTTTATCTTCAGCCGTGAGTTCCGATTGGAAAAAGGACAAAAGTACACCGGGGTTGTAATGTCTCCCTGCTCCGCCGGGTTTCAGCGGGTAAGACGGGAGGGTAGGGAATGGTCTGATTGCCCCTGGGTTGAGAATGATGTCTGTGTGGTGAGAATAATGATGCTTTCCTATTTGGGATGTCCTTGGCAAAGATTTATCTTCGGATCCCAATTGGCGGGCATTGGGTGGCAATGAAGCTCCTTTTTTCAGCTTCGTTGGGATTTTATCAGGAACACTGCCTTTACACACTGGCGATCTGTCGCCTATAATCTTCAAAACTGTCATCACGATCAGCATCGAACATCCAACAATCAAAATGGATGAGAACTGCCTAAAAACGCGTCGGCAGCGTGGTGACGCCATCTGTGCGACAACAGGGAGTCTGAAAAAAGATTTAAAGACGTTTTTTAACATGATCATACTGTCGTAGCTTTTAAAATGCCATGAAGGTGAATTCCAAGTTAATCACATGCGCAGACAACCAAATTGAGCTTACCTAGGATACTACTCAGGCAGCTCATTCCTCATCTTATCAACAAGATAATTAATTATCAAACCAAATCAATTATCATTACCTTAAATTACCTCTGAATTCACTGATTAATTAGCCACATTCTCATTATTAATCAATTAACTAATTGATAAATAAATTCATTAGTCACCACCAAAATCTAGCCAATTTTTGACCATTCCTTAACAGTTCATCAAAATCTCTCCATGGCGTTTTTAATTAAGTTACTTACAGTCGACCAAA